TCCATCTGACACTTGACCTTAAAACCTTCCTAAATCAAAATGGCTCTTTATTGTCAGCTTACTTCACTGCCTTCAATAACTTTTATAAGATTGCCGCCTTTAAAAAGCTCCTTAGTTGGATCATCCAGCAACATCGTTCGTCGAGCTGATAGATCAATACTTAAATGTATAGCTGCAACCAAAACGTCTGATGAAACCATTGTTAGACGATCAGCCAATTACCCACCTTCCAATTGGTCCCATGATTATGTTCAATCACTCACCAGTAACTATGTGGTATATTTCTGTTGTCAATTAACTTTTACTGCTTATACTTATAGAAATATTTGGTTCGCATCTGTATTTATAAGTTATTAAAATTAATTAGTTCTGAAATATGCAGGGAGAATCGTTTGCCCAACGGGTTGAAAAGCTTAAGGAAGAAGTTAGGCTGATGCTTAATTCGGTGGATCCCTTATATCAACTAGAGCTGATTGATGACTTGGAAAGACTTGGAGTATCTAATCACCTTCAGGATGAAATAAAGAGAATCCTAAATGAGATACACAACAATAATTCCAACAATTATAAGCCAAGAGAAGAAAGTTTACATGCAATATCTCTTGAATTCAGACTTTTAAGACAGCATGGCTATGATATTCCTATAGGTGCCTAATATAGATTTATAACATACACAAAAATTTGCCATTTGGATTCATTTATACACAATTTTTCTACCAAACTATATAGTAAAATATATTGGATACATGAAATTCTTTTACGGTGCAACATGATGGAAAAAGTAATTCATTTCACTTTAATTATTTCATCCTTTTTCCAGAAATTTTCGACAATTTCAGGGATGAGAAAGGAAACTTCAGGCCATGCCTCACAGATGATTGCAGAGGAATTTTATCTATGTATGAAGCTGCTTTTCTTTTGAAAGAAGGAGAGAATGTCATCTTTGATGATGTTAGAAATTTCACAACCTCCTACCTCAAGGAATATGTGAAAGAAAACAAAGATCAATATCTTTCCACTGTAGTGAGCCATGAGTTGGAGCTTCCGCGGTATTGGAGGATGCCAAGATTGGAGGCAAGGTGGTTCATAGATGTATATGAGACAAGACCTGACATAAACAGTATCGTGCTTAAGCTTGCCAAACTTGATTTTAACATGGTGCAAGCAATGCATCAAGAGGATATGAAGTCTACATCAAGGTAAGAGGCTAGCTATACCTAATTAAGAGAGGGTAAAGTTGTTGATTTAATATCTAAACATGAACCTACAACATAAATATAAAAGCAATTAATAAACTAAAAATCATTGGAACTTCTTGTATATCTTGTACACATGATGATGTTCTTTTTCATATAAAGGAAGTGGAAGAAGATGGGTCTTGGACATCAACTTAGTAGTTTTGCACGAGATAGCTGGATGATGAGTTTCTTTTGGGCTATGGGGATGACTTCCGAACCACAGTATGGACATTGTAGGACTATGTCTGGAATCGTCAATGCTTTGATTACGTCTATGGATGATGTGTATAATGTTTATGGCACTTTGGATGAACTTGAAATTTTAACCGAAGCTATTGACAGGTTTGTGGCAGGCCATGATAGTTTCGATTGATACACATAGTTATTTAATTCCGTGCATAGCTATTCCCAACATGGAATTTTTATATATAATTTGTGTTGTTATTTAGATGGGATGTCAACAAAATTGACCAACTTCCACACTATATGAAGATATTTTTTCTTGCTCTCTACAATTTCGTCAACGAATTGGGTTTTGATGCTGTCAAAGAACACACAGTTGACATCATTCCTTATCTAAAGAAATCGGTAATTAATACAATCTATTTATATAGAATATATTATGAAGATGATTTTTTAATGTTGTAGATTTATGTGCGATTCATTATGATTGATATCATTATAAATTGTTTTAGTGGGCAGATTTATGCAAAAACTATTTATTGGAGGCAAAGTGGTATAAGGATGGTTACACCCCAACCCTCAAAGAATACATGGACGATGCATGGATTTCTATAGGAGCACTTGTGATGCTAATCCATGCATATTTTTTAAGTACAAATCCATTACCAAAGGGGCCTATGAAATACTTGGAAGAATATAGCGATATAATTAAGTGGTCATCAATCATTATACGACTTGCAAATGACATGGGGACTTCATCTGTAAGCTTTATATATATACTTTTCTTTTTTAAAATATGATACTTTTTTGACATGAGCTCACGTATTAATCTATTTATTATTAAGAGTTATTTGTTTATTATATATCTTTTTTGAAACTATCAATCATAAATTTGTCCTCTAAGTAAAAAGCTTAGATCCGAAGAGGAGTTAATAAACTGTAATTGATTATAAAATATTTTCACTATTTAAAAAAAAAAAAAACAGTGAGGCTTAGTACAAGATAGTAAGAGTGGATACTCTTAAATCCATCAATTGTTACATGCATGAAACTGGAGCGTCTGAAGAAGAGGCTCGTGAACACATACAGAAAATGATTGCTACAACGTGGATGAAGATGAACAGAGATCGGCTTGGAAACCCTCATTTTCCAGAAACGTTTGTTACAGTTGCGATGAACCTAGGCAGGGTGGCTCAGTGTGTGTACCAATATAGAGACGGGCATGCTATTGAAGAGTTGTTTAAAGATCGCATCATGTCATTATTTTTTTATCCCATTCCATTAATGAATGGAGATGGTTACAAGAAATGATGAAAGTTGAGATAACTTTCTTTGTCTTTTATTTTTAACATGAGAGAATAAAAATGTACTGCTTTCTTTTTTTCATATTCCTTATTTTTAACTATGCGAGGGGCTTGGCTTCGTAATAATTCTACCCATAAAATGATTATTACGACATTGTTGCATTAAAAAATATATGTTCTAACATTGTAGGGTGTCGGAAAAAGGTCATATTCCAACAATAGAGCCAAAATCAAAATAGCCTATCTCATATTAGTTATAAATTCCTATAGTGTAAGCAATACAATAAAATGTTAGACACAATAAAATTGAATCATATATATCCCCTTAATATATGTCCAAAGTTAGGCAGCCCACTAAATATTCTTAAGAAGAATTCAGATAACAAAGTTGTTCCACAAAGCACCAAATAGAGCACTATTAATCCCAAATTATTCTTCATCCTATACAATAATACAACTACAAAACTAAAAAAGGAAAAGAGAATCAACCTGCAATCCGGCGAAGTACAGTTTAGAGTAAAGAAGTACAATTTTGCAAGTGAAGTTGAACTAGGATCGATTTAAATCTTCTTTAGACTTTAGTCGAGTGAAGAAGAAGATTGAAAATGGAATTTGAAAGGTGCAGATGCAGATGCAGGAAGATTGAAGATGCGGATGCGATTCAAAGTTTCGAACTCTGTGCAGCTAAGAAAGAAAATATCCCCAATTGAAATAAGGAATGAAGATGCAAATTTGGGAATGGGTTTTTTTTAGGGTTTAGATATGCAAATAATTAGTGACTCGGTTTGGGTCACAGACCGGTTGAACTAGTGGTTTGGGACTATTTTGCCAGTCCGACCATAGTCCAAAGCGATTTTTAATCTATTAACAAGTTTAACATTGAATTGGACCAAATTGTGGCCGATTTCCGATCGATCCAACTGGTCTGGTCCGGGTTTCAAAACAGTGATATTATCAATGTGTGTTTTTTTTTTAAACAAACATATTCTAGTGCGATGTAATATCCATGTGGTTTATCGTAAATATGATTTAGGTGTACTGGCTACCATAAATCTAGGGGTTTTTATATTTGCGAAACAGTAGAGGGAGTAAACTGATATTTTTTAAAACGCATAACAGGCTGAAAGGAAAATGACATCCGTTTCCAAGCCAAACGACATGTCGTCTCTTCGGATAATAAATGTCGTTTGACAATATTGGTTGACCCCCTATGTTCCGGGAAATATCTTAAAAACCTTATTTATGATTCGCTTGTAGACCTAAATAATATTTTCCATTAAGTAATTGATATCTAATTATAGATCACTATGCTAATTTATGATAAGATTTTAATAAATAATTAATCCTTAAAATTGAAATGGCAACGCAATATTGTGATCAAATTTGATACTAAACCATTTTGCAGACTATCCTAATAATTTGTCACATTATTTATTGTAATTTCATTTACCTCTAATTTTAAATCATTCAATCATATAATAACATATTGATGTGTACAAATTATAGTATTTTTATAGTTTAGTCATATTACAACATATTAATTTATACAAATCATAATATTTAATAGTTTTCGAAAATCATTAAAACTTTTAAAATTTAAGCATATAAGAAATGAATGAAATTAACTCTATATAAAACTATGTATGACATGGAACACATTGATACCCTAGACAAGCTACTTTTGGGGTGGTTGAATAATTCAATAGAGATTCTTGAATGTATTACTCAAAAAGTCATGAGTTCGAGTCACTCTTTAGTTATTAATAAGGGTAATCACTGAAAATCTTACCTAATCGGTAGTTTCAAGATCCCCGAGAATTAGTTGAAGTGGATGTAAACAGGTCCGAACATCCCGATCATAAAAAAAATAATTAATTAACAAAAATATTTCAAGACATGCCACCATATGATTCATAACCAAGATTGATAGGCGAATTTAATTGGCTAAATTAGGAGGCGTACCAAATACTATTGATAGTGGGGGTTCTTCCTCGTAATTGTACATAATATTTAACTTCTAAACTTCACATTTTCAACCTATTTCAATTTCTCTTTTATATATAACTTCACATGTGAATTAAGAGAGATTAGAGATTAGTAAATAGTAAGTAGTCAACAGAGTTGTATATTTTTAAATAATATTAAGAATTAAATAAATTTATCTTAAATTTGTTGATGTCAATCAGAAGATATTCTGGAACAGGAAGTAGTGTAATGTAATACATAAATACAACTAGGGTATTTCTGTAAATTAATTTTTAATCATCATGGAAGAAGTGCCAAAAGGAATCTACTTCTCTTGCATCTATGTCTTCACTCTTAACAATCTCTTAATTTATCCTCTTCATTTCCACAGTCAATGGCTTCACATGACCATCATCATCCTGATCATCACCATCACGATCATACCCATCAGTAATCTTAGTAAACTGTTTTCATGAATCAAACATTTTGAAGTGATGGAGATTCAGCTACGCAATCATGGGTAGGTCCAGATGGGAGGGTGTACCATAGCCACGACGGACTTGCACCACACTCACATGAACCCATTTACTCTCCTGGTTTCTTCAGGAGAAGAGCTCCTCCTCTTCTATCCAGAGACTTCAATGAGAGAGCCTTCACTGTTGGTATTGGTGGTCCTGTTGGTACTGGGTATTTTCACCATTCTCTCTAAATGAAGTCTAAGTTCTAAATGTATGCTAGTTCATTTTTATTTTTATTGAACACAGGGTTTCATTTTGTCCTTAAATTTTATAATTGTATGAATGCATAGTGTGTTGGCATCTGGAATTATCTGGTTGAGGGCAAATTTAGTATGCTTTGATTGGGATTTCTGTATTGTCCGAATGTGTTCCATTTTCACGTGTATAGGACATTTGGTTACTGCCTTACAGGAAAACAGTTTAATGCTGGTTTATGTAAATTCTTACGGGACAAATACAGCCTTGCGGCTTTAAGTAACTCGACAATGATTCTTGTCATTCCTTATAATCTTGAGTTTTTACCTCAGCCATCTCTCTGAAAATTTCATGTTTCGAATCAGTGCCATTTCAAAATTTCAAATTTTGGCCTTTCTTGTGCATAACCAGGTCAAGTTAACTATGTTACTGAGCCATTTCAAAAATTGAAATTTTGGTCTTTCTAGTGCATAACCAGGTCAAGTCTATGAACTGTGCCATTAGGAGTGTTAAGAAAGTGTTTCATATGACACAGATTATAGATGGTGATGGTATTTTAGGTTTCATACTACTTTCATGCTTTCAGTATGCATTTATTTTTCTCATAATAATTGGTTACTCACCCGATTAACCTGCTTTTTATTAGATTCAAAGTATTTTTAAAAAAAAAAAATTGAGAAAGTTACGGCAATGTGGTCTATAGATAATGACTTTGCGTCAATTTCCGTAATTTGCCCAAACTTGAATCTCACAACTTTATACTCAAAAAAAAAAAAAAAAAAAAAAAAAAATGCTTCTCCATAGAGGAGCGTTAGGAACCTCTAGCTTGTATTAAGTTGTATATCTAGTATGTTTCAATTTTTCAAATCTTGGTTTAATTAAAAGTATTCTCAATGGAAGATTGCTGGTAATGTGCCTGGATCCATAGTGGGAAAGTAAGCTCCATTTTCAACTCATAATGAATCCCCATCTATTGTCTTGGACTTAGCCTTAAATGACACAGACCATCTTGCACTTAACTTCATTTCCTTGCGCTTGAGAGGTGGATGAACTGGCCAATAATTCATGGTTCTGTATTATCAAATTGAACGTCACTAGCCAACGGCCATTTCTTTCAGTTTTTGACTACAATCTCCTAAGAATTAACTTTACAATGGGTTAATTATCTTGTCGAATTATATGCTCTTGTTATTTCTTATTATTAATGATTATCTAAGTTAATGATGGATTCGGAGGAATATAATTACTTCAGGTGACAAATGATATATTCACAAAAGAGGATGGTGAGTTCCTGATGAAGAATGGTTCTCTGCCCGAGGAAAGGATACATGCTGTGGAAACGGGACGCTGTCCACATGCTGCAATTCGCGAAGATATAAGCATAAACCTTGGCCCTCTTGAGGAACTTACTAACTTTTTCAAAGCCGACATACTTCTTTGTTAATCCGGGGGAGGTAATTTACTAGGGAATGCATTTTCTCAATATGAATTTTCTCCTGAAGAGATCTTGCTAAAATCTAAATTGGACTGATAAAGTTGTCATCTTGATTTACCAATTGTAGAGGTCATCACAACATAAATGTACTGATTACATGTTGAATAAGTTTGCTCTATTAATAATGATATTGGGAAAATATGACAACTATTTGGGGAGCCTGTGGTTATCCAAATTCAGGCAATCTAGTCTAACGAAAATTTCACTAGGGAAGAGAAGGCCCATGTTTGAAATTCAGAGTTAATGTGTAGTACTCATTGTATCTGTTAACAGTTAAAGTCTTATGATAAGTCGTGCATAATTTGTGATACACAACTGCTGTCTCTACTGGAACTGGATTACAACTGGAGAAGATTCAACTTCTATAAAGTTTTATGTCTGCAGATAATTTAGCTGCCAACTTTAGCAGGGAGCTGGCTGACTATATCATTTATATAATTGATGTATCTGGTGGTGATAAAATTCCTTGGAAAGGTGGCCCAGGCATCAACCAAGCTGATCTTCTAGTATGTAGCTTAATATTTGTAATTGCCTAATATTGTAGTTGATGTTGTTTTGTCTGGAAGTTAATGTGAATGATTTGTTGCATTTGGTTGTAGGTGACCTGCACCAGCAGTCGGAGCTGACTTAGCAGTAATGGAGTGTGACGCACTCAAGATGCGTGAGGGAGGGCCTTTTGTCTTTGCTCAGGTAGGTTGAGGCAGTATTTGCATTTGCTTGATTTAAGCATGAAGGAACCTGGTGTATTCTGACTTGTGGAAGTTACTCGATTACTAAAAATGAAGTTATTATATAATATCATTTTGGTTTATACTTAAATCGTATTTCAGTGTAACCTCCTGGCATTGTTTCATCTTGAAATCTGTAAACCAGCATGTAGCAATAAATGTCCCCTCTCATGGCTTTCTTTCTGAATATGCAGATATGAATCGTTTAATTAATGAGTAGTATCATCCCAGAACCCAATTGAGTTTAGATTCTCTCTACATCCTTCGAAAATTAAATGACTTTAGTGCCTCAGGATCAGGTTCTCGTGTTCAAATACTATTTTCATTCACAAATTGTCGACTAGTCAAAGAGCTGATTGAGCACTACGACTTATTCTCAGTCATCCAATTTTAATTTGGTAACCAGATATTGACACATCTAGCTAACAGCTGACGTTAATATTATTTCTATGCTTTAGCCTTATAAGATAACAAATGATAAAATGATTTGATTGCAAGGTAAATATAACGTTAACAGGTAGCGATTTTTCATAATCTTTGTTGTTGGGTAACCATGATGTTTTGCTAGAGATCAATCTTGGTTGGTGTACGGAAGGCTAATTGGTTCTAAATTATGATTCCGATCACTACCAACATAAAGAGCTTATGGGTTACACACATTAAAGATAGTTTAAGATGAATGATGAACATAAGGGTAATTTCATCTTTCAGATGAAAATGTGTATTTCACTATTTTGGTCATTTTGTTGTGCATTTGAATTTGTTGGAGTTGTTACCCGTATATGCCTCTTTGTTTTAAAACCCAGACCAGACCGTCTGGTCCGACCGAGAGCTAGCCTTTACTCCAGTCCGGGTTAACATAAAAACCAAAAATATCATTAATCCCGCTTTGGACCGACAATGGATCGATGGAACAATATAAAACCGTCAGTCCAATCGGCTCAGGGCTTAAAATGGTTTGCTATTTTTTTATATCTAATCCTAAAAATTTCATATTCCTACTTTCTAAATCAATTTGCAGCACCGTTTTATTCTCCGTTTCATTTGAATAAAAAAACCAAATTGCATTTTCCATTTTATCTTTTATTTTTCTTCACTTACTCTAAAATCTACCGTGTAAAGAAGAAGAAGTAAGGGGAGGGGAAGGAAGAAGAAAGAGTAGAGGAGACAAAAGAAAGAGTAAGAAAGAAGATTAAAAGAAAGAAAAGAGGAGATGAAGAGAAAGAGAAGGAAGAAGAAAGAGGAGGAGAGAAAAATTACAGTAGAGAGACGTGAATGTGTTAGAAGAAAGAAGAAAGTGATAAAAAAGGAGAAAGAAGAAAGTGATGGAGAGTGATGGGGAGAGAGAGAGGGAGAGAGAAAAGAAGAAAGAAGAAAGTGACGGGGAGTGATGGGGAGAGAGAGAGAGAGAGAGAGAGAGAGAGAGAGAGAGAGAGAGAAAATGAGAAAAAAGAAAGTGATGGGGAGTGATGGCGTGACGAAGAGAGAAAAAAATAATTAATAATAAAATTTGTAGAGTGCATTTGCTTTAATTTAAACTTATAGAGGCTTATAGGTAAGAGATGTATTTACTGATTTTCAAACTTATAAAAATTAATGAAACTGTTTAAAAATATGATTGCTATATACTAGTCAAACCGACCGGTTCAATCGATTAGATCGGTCAATTCGTAAACCAACCCTTTGATCGGGTCAAAGGGTGGTCTGATCTTTAAAACAATGATATGTCTTACTATATAAAGAAAAGGAAAAGAGAAAAATAAATGAGTTTATTATTTTTCATTAAGCAAATTGAGAGAATTTTTCTTTCAATTTTTCATTCAACCTTTGGCTTTGAGTAATCAATCAGTCTAGCAATCTCTTTGATTGTGGATTGTTGTTCCTCCCTTTGTGCGGACTTCATTGGTTCCATTCTTCTTTTTGAATCGGACTGCAAAGAAATTATGTTTTGATGAACAGTATAGTAAATAGTGATAGTAAACAGTGATGTAAACAGTGTCAGTAAATGGTGATGGTGAACAGTATCAAAAATTAAACGTGAAGGAACCTCCAAATGTTGGTATATAATTAACCCTTGAATGGGTTTAACGCATGTAAATAAAATAATCTATGCCCAGATTCGTTGGGTTTAAAAGGTTTAATCGAAAATTTTTTCAATTGCTGCGCTTTCTATCGATGAAATCCTAACAGCTATATCTAAAGGCTCTTTTTCTAGTCCCATTAATTGACTTAAAATGCATAAATGATTTGTTTTTTTCTCGAATACACCGATTTCCCGAGTTCTTTGATTAATTTGACGTTTTGGTCCCTTAATTTGACATTTGGTGGGAGCCACCTTCCTTGGTTTTTGAATTAGAAAAAACTAATCTGCCTTTATGTTCCCTCATCCATCAATTCTCCAAATTTTCAATTCTCAAAATATTTGATATTGACAAATATCTAGAGAGACATTTAAGGAATTGGTCCGGATTCATTCTTTATTATTTGGTTCACTTAAATTAATATAATATATTGGCCAAACAAAAACCAGTATCATAAATCTAGGTGTTTTTTAATATTTGGAAAACTGATAGTTTTTAAAATGCGTGGCATGCCCTCTGAAAGGCAAATGACCTCCGTTTCCAGCCAAACAACCTGTCGCCTCGTGCTCTCGGATAACTAATGTGTCATTTGACAAGAGGCCCAAACGACATGCACCCCACCCTAGTTTGCTATAAAGACAATGTAGTACCAAAAAGTTAAAAACGTCAATTACCTACCTTCTGTACAAATCTGAGTAAGTTAGTAAAAAAGGGATATATGGTAATTTGTTATATCCAACAAAAAAAATAAACATTCTGCCCCCTTTCTCTCTTTACTATTATTTTATAAAATATTTCTTCTCAATTTTTAATTATTGTATTTTTATAATTACTGTGAATTAAAATCTTGTCTCATCTTCTTCATCTCTCGCCATAACCACAGACAACTAGCAGCAAAAATACCAAAGTCCCACAAAAAAACCCTCACTCACATCACCCAAAATATTCAATGCAAAAATCCCAAAGAAAATCACTCTAACACTCAAGAAACAAAACACGCAATGCACAAAGGTGGGTCAAAACTCAACAAAGTGTGTGCCAAAACTTGGAAAATTCAATTCATCAATATGCCAAAACCATCAAAAATCCCCCAAAATCAAACCAAAACACAAAAAAAAAAAAAAAAAAAAACACTCTCCCAATTAATTTCCAACCATCAATTTCTCATCAAAAAACTCCGAAAAACACCAATCAATCCAATTCAGACAACAACAAAACAAACTAGAATTCCATGGGGCGGTGAAATGTGAGTCAACGCCGATGGGTAAATGGGGGTTTTAGAGGGTCACAACGAAAAACCGATTGCGGGGAGAGAGGTTTTCGTGCCGGGGGTTTTCTGGAAAATGGGTGGGGAACGTGCGACTTCGCTTTGCAAAAGACCCCATTTTTTTTGCCCCTTTTTATGAGAGAGATGCAGATGATGAAGACGAGAAGAGAGAGAGAAGAGAGGCTTTCGATCTGCCGGATTTGCTGCTGGGTTATTGCTTAGTGATTTGAGAAAAAGAGGGAGAAGGAAGGGAAAAAGAGAAGGGAGATAATCAGAGAAAATATAAGAGAAAGGGAGAAGAAGACGAAGGATAAAAAGATTTTTGGGCAGATGTTTTAAATATTTTATTAATGCAATTTTTTTTAAACTTTTTTTTTTTTTTATGCAAAACCTTAAAACAAAAAAAGTCAAAATTACCCTCCCACAAAAATGATAGAATGTCGATAATACCATTTTAGTTACAGATTTACTAACTGGTTTGGACAGAAAGTGGGTATTTATATCATTTCAAAACCTTTATGTCTCAATTTTGGCTTTAAAACAAATTCTGGGTAGGTGTAAGAAGTCCGTTCCCGCCTTTCACAAATTGGTTGACCCCCTATGTTTCGGGAATATCTAAAACCTATTTATGATTCTCTCGTAACCTAAATATATTTACCATTACTATAATTGATATTAATTTTAGATCACTATGCTAATTATGATAATTTATAAAATTCTCCTTAAGTGAAATGAGAACGCTATTGTGATCAATTGATACTAAACCATTTGGAACTATCCTAATAATTTGTCACATAATCTACTTTCTTTCATTTACCTCTAATTTTAATCAATCCAACACTATATAAACATATTGAGTGTACAATTATAGTATTTTTATAGTTAAATCATATACAACAATTAATTATACACAATCATAATATTTAATAGTTTTCGAAAATCATTAAAACATTTAAATTTAAGCATAGAGAAATGAATGAAATTAACTCTATATAAAACTAGTATGGTCATGGAAACATTGATATTCTGACAAACACCTTTGGTGTTAGTAGTTTAATAGGGACTCCTTGATGTATTACTCAAAGAGTCATAGTAATTCTTGTTTTGTTACTAATAAGGGTAACACTCATGAAAATCTTACATGTCGTAGATTAAGTCCCCAAGAATTAGTGAGTGATGTAACGTCCGAATACCCCGATTATAAAAAAAATAATTAATAAAAAAAATCAAGACTGCCACCATATGACTATAAAGATTGATGCGAATTTAATTGGCTAAATTGGAGGCATACAAACTACTATTGATAGTGGGGTTTCTTCGATTGTACATAATATTATCTTCTAACTTCACATTTTCAACCTATTTCATTTCTCTTTTATATATAACTTACATGTGAATTAAGAGAGATTAAGATTAGTCAATAGTAAGTAAGTCAACAGAGTTTATAATTTTTAAATAATATTAAGAATTAAATAAAATTTATCTTAAATATTGATTGACATAATCAGTAAAGATATCGGGAAGGAAGTCGTGTAATTAATATAATAAACTAGGTATTCTGAAATTACTTTTTCACATGAAGAGTACCAAAAGGAATCTGCCTTCTCTTGCATCATGTTCACTCTAAACATCTCTTAATTTATCCTCTTCATTTCCACATTCATGGCTTCACATGACCATCATCATCCTGATCATCACATCACGTCATACCATCAGTAATCTTTCTATTTGATTATTTCTTTTCTGGTTGTAGTATTATTTCTGTACTATGAGAACTTACTAACTGTTTTATGAATCAAACATTTTAAGTGATGAGAATTCAGCTACGAATCATGGGTAGGTCCAGATGGGAGGGTGTACCATAGCCACGACGGACTCGCACCACACTCACTGAACCCA